CTGGCGATCATCAAAATTCTGTAATTTTATTGGCTGTTGATCACATGATGTGCCTCCGCTTTAGACGACCTCTATAATGGGCAACAGTCTATATATAGCTTCAAATGTTAACGCCCTAACCCTAAATTTTGTTTTTACGCACTTTATTTATTTACAAATTTCCTTTTTTGGGTTGAATTACTGGCATGTTTATCATTTTTTATAAAATTGAAAACAATAAAATTGGCTAATATCCGTATCTTATCTCTACAATCTTTTTTAACTATTAAATATTAAAGCGTTTTTCATTAAAAAAAAAAATGCTGCTGTCGTTAAGAAAACGAAATTTGTTAACGGATTTAAATAAATCAATAGAAAGAAATCCGAGAGATACATATTCATTAAACAAACGTGCAATGATTTATTATAAAGAAAAGCTATTTGAAAAGTCACTTGTGGACGTAAATAAATCACTAGAAATTATGCCAAATAATTTAGAAGCTCTGAATGTTCGTGGATTAATTTATCAACATGAGGGAAGTTATGATGAATCAATTGCAGATTTTAATAAAGCGTTAGAAATTGAACCAAATAATGAAGTTTTATTTGTTAATCGTGGAATAACTTATCAGCTCGCAGGGAAAAATAATGAGTCACTTGCAGACTTGAATAAAGCATTAGGAATAAGATCAGACATTTTTAAGGCATTGGCAACTCGTGGATCACTATATCACAATATGGATAAATATGAGGAATCACTCAGAGATTTTAATAAGGCATTAGAAATTAAACCAAATGATGAATTTATATTAAATAATCGTGGATCGATTTATCGATTAATGGGTAGATATGATGAAGCACTTTCTGACTTAAACAAAGTACTGGAAATTGATCCCAATAATGAAACAGCTTTATATGAACGTGGAGAAGTAGGTTATCAAACTGGTAAATATAATGAATCACTTAGAGATTTAAATGAATTATTGGAAAATAAACCTGATGATGTAACTTTATTGAATAATCGTGGATTAATTTATCTGGAAATGGGCAAATATAAAGAATCACTTACAGATTTAAATAATTCATTGGAGATCAGACCAAATGATGCTACAACATTGCATAATCGTGGAATAACATATCAAAAGATGAATAAATATGATGAATCAATCGTAGATTTCAATAAATCTTTAGAAATTAGACCAAACGATGCTACAACATTACGTTATCGTGGATTAACATATCTAAATATGGGCAAATATGAACAGTCACTCATAGATTTAAATAAATCTTTAGAAATTAAACCAAATGATGCTGCTGCATTAAATGACTTGGGATTAATATATCAAAAGATGGGCAAATATGAAGAATCTATAGCTAGTTTAAATAAATCATTAGATATTACACCAAGCAATGCTATAGCATTACGTCATCGTGGATTAACATATCAAAATATGGGCAAATATGAACAGTCACTCATAGATTTAAATAAATCTTTAGAAATTGATCCAAATAACGCTTTAACGCTGTATGATCGTGGTATAACATATCGTAATATGAATAGATTTGAAGAATCACTTGGAGATTTAAATAAATCATTAGAAATCAAACCAAATGATGCTATTATATTGGATTGTCGTGGATTAACATATCAATATATGGAAAAATATAAAGAATCACTTGCTGATTTAAATAAATCGTTAGAAATCAGTCCAAATAACTCTATAACATTGTCTAATCGTGGAGAAACCTACCGACAGATGGGAAGATATGAAGAATCATTATCTGATTTCAATAAATCATTAGAAATCAGTTCAAATGATTTTACAACATTAAACAATCGAGGTTTAGCATATTGTGAGATAGGTTTATATGAAAAATCGCTTGCTGACTTAAGTAAATCATTGGAAATCAATCCAATTAATTATGAAATATTATCTAATACAGTAGAGGGTTCGTATATCAAAAGTTGGGCAGATATGAAGAATCACTTAATGATTTCAATAAGTCGTTACAAATTAATCCGAATGACACTTTAACTTTGATTTATCGCCAATCAACATATAAACTTATGGGTAGAAATGAAAAACAACACGTAGATTCAGACAAATCAGGCACGACGTCTATTACTGAACCACGTACGGATTTAGGAATTCCCTTAAAACTCAGTCCAAATAACGATCATATATTTCAAGAGGTAGATAAATGTGAAGAATCACTTACAGATTTAGACATAGCGTTGTCTATTCTTAAGTCGCTTACAACATTAGAAGTATGTGAAGAGTCACTTACAGATTCAGAACTATTGAACATAACACTTTCTATTCTTGAATTGTTTAAAGGATTAGAAAGTCCTTTAACAATTAACCCTGATGACGTTATATATCAAGAGACTGACAAACATAAAGAATCATCTGCAGGTCTAAATAAATCGTTAGAAATCTAACAAAACAATTCCTTTACAGATTTAGACATAGCGTTGTCTATTATTAAGTCGCTTACAACATTAAAAGAATGCGAAGAGTCACTTACAGATTCCGAACTATTGAACATAACGCTTTCTATTCTTGAATTGTTTAAAACATTAGAAAGTCCTTTAAAGATTAGTGCGGATAATGATGCTATACGTCAAGAGACAGATAACCATGAAAAATCACCTGAATTACCTCAATCACCTGCAGATTCTGACATTACATTGTCTATTCTTAAGTCGCTTACAACATTAGAAGAATGTGGAGAGTCACTTACAGATTCAGAAAAATCGAACATAACGCTTTCTATTCTTGAATTTCTTAAAGAATTAGAAAGTCCTTTAAAAATTAATCCTGATGATGTTATACATCAAGAGACAGACAAACATAAAGAATCATTTGCAGGCATAAATAAATCGTTAGAAATCGAACAAAGCAATTCCCTTGCAGGTGTAGACAAATCCTTAGAAATCGAACAAAATGATAATGAAGAATCGCTTACTGATTTAAATATGACAACCGAACTAAACGATTCAGAGGCATTAAATAATCGTGGATGTAGGTATCGAGCCATGAGAAAATATGAGGAAGCACTCAAAGATTTTAATGAATCATTAAGGATTGATCCAAATGATCCAATAGTGTTAAATAATCGTGCATGCACTTATCGAGAAATGAGAAAATATGAGGAATCACTTAACGATTTCAATGAAGCATTAACAATTGACCCGAATAATCCCATTACATTGAATAATCGTGGAGTTACTTATAAACAAATAAGTAGATACGATGAATCACTCAATGACCTAAACAAGGCATTACAGATCGAACCAAATCATGCAGGTATATTTTCTAACCGCAGTGAAACATATGAATTAATGGGCAGATATAATGAAGCATTAGCAGACATAAATAAAGCATTGGAAATCGAACCAAACGATGCTGATATTTTAGGTAAACGCAGAAGGATTTATCGCTTTTTAGGTGGATATGATGAATCACTCGTAGATTTAAACAAGTCATTAGAAATAAATCCAAATAGCGCTAAATTACTTTTTAAACGTGGAGAAACATATAGTGATAGAGTTATATATGAAGAATTACCAGTCGACTTAAATAAATCATTAGAAATCGAACAAGATGATAAAGAATCACTTGCTGATTTAAAAATGGAAACTGAATTAAAAGATTCAACGGCGTTAAATAATCGTGGATGTATGTATCTTACAATGGAAAAATATGAGGAATCACTCGAATATTTTAACAAATCATTAAAGATTGACCCAAATAATTCATTAACATTAAATAATCGTGGAAGCACTTATCGAAACATGGGAAAATGTGAGGAATCACTTAAAGATTTTAATGAAGCGTTAAAAATTGACCCGAATAATGCAACTATATTGAATAATCGTGGAGTTACTTATCGACAAATAGGAAGATATAATGAGTCACTCACTGACCTAACCAAGTCATTACAGATCGAACCAAATGATGCAAGTATATTATCTAACCGCAATGAAACATATAGATTAATGGGCAGATATAATGAAGCATTAGTGGACTTAAATAAAGCATTGGAAATCGAACCAAACAATGCTGAGAGGTTAAGTAACCGCGGATCTATTTATTATTCTTTGGGTAGATATGATGAATCACTCGCAGATTTAAACAAATCATTAGAAATTAGTCCAAATAATGCTACAGCATTGCTTTGTCGTGGAAAGACATATATGAATATGGGTAAATATGAAAAATCACTTATCGATTTAAATAAATCAATAGAAAACAGACCAAATGATGCTGCAGCATTAAATGTACGTGGATTAATATATCAACATATGAAAAGGTACGAAGAGTCACTTGCTGATTTAAATAAATCATTAGAAATCAGACCAAATAATGCAACAATATTGAGTAATCGTGGAATAGCATATCAATATATGGGAAGATACGAAGAGTCACTTGCTGATCTAAACAAGTCATTACAAATCGAACCAAATAATGACATAGCACTGTCTATTCGTGGAGAAACCTACCGACAGATGAGAAGATATGAAGAATCGCTTACTGATCTCAACAAATCACTAGAGATCAATCCAAACAATGCTACTGCACTGATCGATCGTGGAGTAACATATAGTGATATGAACAGGCATGAAGATTCACTTGCCGACTATGAAAAATTGCTTGTTAGCACAAATGAAATTGAAACAAATTATGCAATAGCATTAAATAATCGTGGGGAGATTTATAAAAAAATGGGAAATTTTGAGAAATCTCTCGAAAACTTTAACGAATCATTAAGAATTAACCAAAATAATGCATCTGTTTGGCATAATCGTGGACTTACTTATCAATTCAGAGGCAGACATGATAAAGCACTCGATGATTTAAACAAGGCATTACAGATCGAGCCAAATCACGCAATGATATTATGTCATCGTGGTGAAATATATAGATTACTAGACAGAAATAATGAAGCATTAGCAGATTTAAATAAAGCATTGGTGATAGAACCAAATAATGTGGAGATATTGGCTACTCGAGGAAGTGTTTATCATCGTTTGGGCAGATATGATGAATCACTCGCAGATGTGAACAAATCATTAGAAATCGAACCAAATCATTCGAAGGCATTAAATATTCGTGGATTAACTCATCTAACGATGGGCAAATATGATAAGGCGCTTGAGGATTTTAACAAATCATTGGAGATCAAACCAGATGCAATGGTATTATATAATAGAGGAGTGACATATCAAAGTCTGGGTAAATATGAAGAATCGCTCATGGATTTAAACAAAGCACTAGGAATTAAATCAAGTAGCAAAATAACTAGTTTAAGATTTGGAACTTGTCCAAATTGTAAACAACTTAATACTGGTTTTGCATTTTGCCATTCATGTGATACTCAAATAAATCAAGAATGGACTAGTGGAAATAAAGACATTGATGATTTTATTAAGGAAAAACAAAAAGAAGCAGAGTATTATAATAAAGTAATCGAATGGATACCTTTTGACAGGTTAAAGGATATTCGAGAAATCGGTGAAGGTGGCTTTGGCACAGTTTATTCTGCAACTTGGATTGATGGTAAGAGAACCTATAATGTCAATAACAAGGGAACAGTTCCGTCACGTGAACCATTTTGTATGGTCGCTCTTAAGAGTTTAATTGGAACCCAAGATATTTTATTGGATTTTTTGAAAGAGGTAAGAGAAATGTATTGGCCAGCTTTTGATCAATAAGAAATTATTATTATTAACCAAAAAAACTGACAATTTTTATTAATTTTAAGTTTAAATCACATTATGAATGTCAACTCAGTAAATATAGTGTAGAAAAATATGGAATAGAAACATATGGAATAACATATGACCCTCTAAAAAATGAATATATGATGGTCTTAGAATATGCAGATAAAGGAGATCTTCGAAATTATTTAAAGGAAAATTTTAGAACTCTTTAATGGAAACACAAAATAAAGATTCTTCGCTCGATATCAGACAATCTATTTCATATTCATCAAGATTACGTACATAGAGATTTTCATAGTGGCAATATACTTATGTTTAGTATTCACGATTTTGTTCCTTACGTATTTAATTTGGAAGACAGCGTAGTAATGCTTCCAAGTAAAACCGGTGGTAATATCAGTATAGAACCAAAAATTTCTGATTTAGGGTTGGCTAGTAAAACAAATGAATCCGAAATAAATAAGTATGGCGTAATACCTTACTTAGCGCCTGAGGTTTTTGAAAAAAAGCCATACACTCAATTTTCAGATATTTACAGTTTTGGAGTAATAATGTCTGAACATAGAACCGGACAACCACCCTTCGTAAACAGGGACTGTAACTGCAATTTAATTCTGGATATAATAACGGGATCACGACCAGAGTTTGCTTTGGGAACACCTGATTGCTATATAAATCTTGCAAAGAAATGTATGGATAAAAATCCAAAAAACAGACCAACTGCATTAGACGTTTACAAAATTTTGCAAGAGTGAGAGATAATTCTTGATACAAATCCAGAAGAACTAAATGAAAGACAGCTTAAGATTAACGATGCATTTTTGAAAGCAGATGAAATTATTTCAACATTATCAACAACTTCATTACAATATCGAGATCTTAGATATACATCTAAAGCTATAGGTAAAATATTTATATAATTTTTTATTGAATGAATACAAATACACTTTTTTAGATATTAAAACACATATTATGGGCGTTTATTATCTATTTAGAATCAGTGGAAGACGCCAGATCGAGCCTCAACCGTTTTATTGACTCATATACTGGTAAGTAACTCGATTGCCTAACATCATTTGTCAATAGCTTAGGACAGACAATTTAATTCGGTGGTTTACATTACATCCTTC